ACAGCCCCTCGTTTGTTGTCCTCTTCTCTCTCTCTGCCTACGGTTTACCGGGCAGTTCTATTTGTGACGATATATATATATATATATATATATTTTTCCTCGGTCGAATGTTTTTGCAAAGTTCAAACTTGTCCTTTTGATTAGTGGCTCCTTATCAGGGCGATCAACTCATCCCTCCCCGCCTATGTTGTTGCCCCCTTTGGTTTTCTCTACCTGTCTCCGGGTACCCCGTACGATAGCATTGGTGAGTTGCCACATCAGCAGACCACGCCAACAAGCCACGTCAGCAGACCACGTGAGCAGGACACGTCAGCCGACAACCGCGACATTGCGTCAGCAGCCGAGTAGTGCCACGTCGGCAGTCCTCCGGCCTGGTCTATGCTCACGCGCTTACAAACAGCCAGCATGGATCAGAAGTCCGGGGAAACGGTCGAGGCCTATCAGGCCCAGATGCTGGCTTTGATTATCGAAACCAAGAAACGGGCTGATGAAGTAGCAGCCGCAAAGAAGAAGAAGGCAGAGGATGCCGAGAAGGCACGTCTGTTGGCAATCGAACAGGAGCGCCAGCAAGACGAGGCAGCTGCGAACGCTGCCGATGAAGAACGAAATCAACGACTCGGGAAGATATTCAACGGAGAGCGAGCTTTGCTCACAATGGCAGCGGACTGGCGAGCCGAGGCCGATAATGGTAAGACGGAAGAGAGTGAAAGCAAGATCGCTCTACTCCTCTCCCATTTTACGGATCTCCTGGCAACGTGCATTGCACAGCAGGAGGACATCCACAGCCTCAACGACGTGGTTCAGACGCACAATCAGGCGTTTGACCAAGTCAACAGCCGCCTCCAGCAGCTGGAGCAACGACCCGTCACCGCCCCCGATGCCAGCTCCTCCAACACCTTTGATCGCCTCAATGCATTGGAGATCGACGTCGGAACCCTCAAGGACGACATGCATCTACAGCAAACCACCACACAACAACTGGAGCAGCGGAACTGTTCTGCCGCCGCCAACCCGAGCTCGGCACCACGTGAGACAACTCCGAAGTTCGATGGTCAGGAGATCTTCTGCGATTCGACGAAGACGGACCCGATCCCGTGGTTCGGCGAGTTTGAGCTCAAGTTGCAGCTACACCACGTCAGCAAGGACAAGAAACACGCGTACTTGTACTCCTGGTGGGGGGGCACGTGTCAGGCATGGTTGGACAATCTCTTGTCCAAGTACGGGGTGGTAGCTGCCGACTTATACACCTAGATCACCTGGGATGATCTGAAGGCGGTGTGGCATAAGCGGTTCCAAGTAGAGTCGCCTGAGATAAAGGCAATGGACAAATTGATGACCTTCGAACAGGGCACACTGCCGAGTGTTGACTGATTGCCGCGTACCAACGCTTGACATCCGTCCCAGACATTCAGATGGGCTTCAAGGCCGTCAAACACTACTTCATCTCGAGGTCGTGTCCAGCGTTGGGCAACGCCTTGACTCACGTCGAGGAGACTCTGACGACAACGGCGGAGCTCTTCGACAAGGCCGCGCAGATCATTGTCACGAACAAGGAGGCTAAGAACCTCAACCGTTCGTCTACGGCAGGCTCGAGCAGAGATCAGCATTGGCCGAAAGTGGTCGTGGTCGTGGCGGCAACGCCAACCGACCACTCTAGCGAGGTCATGTCTGCCAATGAAGGGGACAGACTTGCAGCCGCCCGGGATGGTGGCCGCCCCAGCAGAGGCCGAGGATGTGGCAAGCCGAAGACAAACACCACAGCTGTCCCCGGCCCCGACGCAACAGCTCCAGCCCCATGGATCCACTACGGCCTCTCAGAGCAAGCATACAAGCAACGTACGAGATTCCACTATTGTCTGCGGTGTAACAGCGATCTCCACGACACAGTGGGCTGCCCGTCAAAAGGCAAAGGCAAATTGGGGAATTGAGCACCACTGGGAGTGAATCGACGACACTGTCGACGCCTTCGGAACCAGTCGCTTCGCGGGTGACCACCCTTCGTTCCAAGGCACATGCGAAAGTTGATAGTCCTCTTCTATATTCTTATGAGGATTATGTTGCCCGGCTCGTTCCTACGCTGGGTACTCATGCTCAAGGACAAGACGTGTGTGCGACATCTTCCCCGTCCGGCAGCGGCAGCTTATCGTCTTCAAGTGGTTCTTCACGGCGCGCTAGTTCAACATAGAGGTATTGTTCCCGCTCACGTCCGAGGATTTCGCATGGCTTCCTCTCCCGACCACGGGCTGTTTGCCAGGACCACAATGCGCAGCATTATGCGCTCATCTTCATACGTATCTATCCTTCTATGCACCACCAACTTCGCTGACGGAGGACGAAGCTGCGGTGGGGGACATCCTTGCGTATGTTACCAAGGTGGCCCGCGAGTTTCGCAAGCAGCAGTACGATGACAACAACACACTGCTCCTCTATGTCCGCATCCAAGTTGGGCGAGCATCCTGCAGCGCTTTGCTGGATAGCAGCGCGTCTCGCAATTTCATGAGCCAACCCTTTATGCAAAGGGCTGGCCTTGGCGCACAAGTTCGGAGGAAAGCAAACCCGACGGCGATCAAGTTGGCGGACAGAAGGACGCAGCAACTTATCGACCACTACATCAAGGCCGTACAGGTGTATTTCGCACCTCATGCATGCGAGCCGATGACGTTCGACATTTTGGACACAGACTTCGACATTATTTTGGGAATGCCTTGGCTTGCATGTGCGGATCACACGGTCAACTTCCACCGGTGGACTCTTACCGTTCGGGATGCCTTCGGCGCCGAAGTGCACCCTTCGATTCGGTGCCAAGTGGTGATGGCCAAGTCATTCTAGGCTACTTGCGCGTACGAGCAGCCCGACGAGATAGGCCTATGCTTCCTACGGACCGTCGCGGTAGCCGATTCTTCCCCCACGGACTTGTCTTCGGACCCCCGTGTGGTGCGGTTGCTTGACGAGTTCACCGACATCTTCGAGTCACCTACCGGTGTGGTGCTGGATCGGCCGATCTCTCACGAGATCATTCTTGAGGCCGGTGTCGTGCCGACGAAAGGTTGCATTTACCGCATGAGCGAGGAGCTTACGGTCCTCCGCGAGCAACTTGATGACTTGATGGACAAGGGTTGGATCCGCCCTAGTAGCTCCCCATATGGAGTGCCAGTTCTCTTCGTGAGGAAGAAGAACATGGATCTACGATTGTGCATCAACTTCGCGAGCGCTTTTGGTGGCCCGGCCTTCTCGGCGACGTCACACGCTATTGCGAGTCGTGCGAGGTTTGCCGTAGGAGCAAATCGCGCAACCATCGTCCGTATGGCGAGTTGCGACCATTACCGGTCCCCTTGCACCAAAGGGAAGCAATTACCATGAGCATTACCGGGTCGTTCCCCAAGCACAAGACCGGTGTGGATGGGATTCTCACGGTGGTCGACCGACTCACCAAGTTCGCCATGTTTTTGCCTTGCCGCTATCATGCCGAGTTTCCGGAGTTGGCCGAGGTTTTTTACGCCGGTTGGATTCGAACCAAGGGTTACCCCAAGGAAATCGTCTGCGACCGCGACACTCGGTTCATGTCCGATTTTTGGTTGGCGTTCATCAAACGATGGGGCTCATCTCTCAAGCCAAGTTCAGTTCGCCTACTTCGTACACTTTGTGTACTGCACCCACAAAAGAACGCAAGATGCAAGGCAAGCCGGTATCTTCGGCTCCACATCACACCCGCGTCCATCTTCGACCTTCATATCGTTTGCTTCGCCCTCGACCCGACTTGACTTCATAAGGAAGGGGGGGTGTTACATCCTGCGCCAGCAACATGCTGCGCCTGAAACGAGGGCCATTTTCAGGCCCTGTGTTGTTTTCAGCCTGAAAGCCTGAAAACAAGGGCCTACAGGCCATTTGTCGTTTTTCAGCCTGAAAGCCTAAACACAAGGGCCTACAGGCCATGTGTCATTTTAGCCTAAAACAGGGCCCTCAAGGCCCTAAGTCTTTTCAACCTGAAACGGACAACCATTTTCAGGCCCTCATAAGATCGACCTGCCTTGAAACCTAGGCACCAGACCAGGGTTTTAGCACAGGCCATTTTGGGTCTGTTTTCAAGACAACCTTTGTTTGAACTTCAACGCCAGGGTCTGGCACGTTTTGGCATTGGCAAGAGCAGCCTCCTGGACGGGCCAACACTATATAAGACTGGCCCGCCCTGCAGGCTGCAGGTAGTTCATAGGCACTTCCTAGGCACTTCACGTGCAGTTCAGGAGGCAGGAGGTAGTCTTTTGGATTCGGCAGCAACACTCTGGAGGAGCGCTGCAGTAGTACTCGTAGCGTTAGCAGTAGTCTTCAGCGCTGGACTCTATTAGGAGCTAAAGTACCACTGGAGAGAGATAGAGATTAGGCGGAGGCCAGGGAAACTTACCTGCAGCGCCATAGCTCCAGCTCGTCACCGAGGTACCTGCAGCACAGCCCCATCTTCACAGGTTAGTACCTGGCACATGAGAGAGAGAGAGAGAGA